GCTTCTTGTTGAATCCCACTAAGTGGCAGGTGATGCCTATCCATATACTAATTCTTAAATCTGCACTGTATGGTCAATAAGGTCATTAACACCCACCAATTAGATGGGGTTTTCTGTCGGACTGCTTGTAGGTTCTTCCTCATTGTGTTTTGCATCATAAATATATCTGTTCCAGACCAAACACTCATGAGTAAAGCAGAAGGGGATTGCTGCCTTTCCCTGCCGATTCTTCGATTCAATACATCAGAAACAGTCTGCTGTTAAAAATAGGGTTTCATGGTCACCCATTGCATTTTCTCCAGTGCTGCATTCCTCTGCACTCTCCAACACATTCTCTCCTTCTTCTAGAGGAGTATAGGAGTCCTTACCAATTACCAGCCCTTAGCCCCTGGGGAGATGGACCATGAAGGCTTCCTCTGAAATGTGCTCAATTCTACTTAGTTGAGTGTAGGGCAGTGGTGTTCTGTGGGTGTAAGTGGTGCAACTATTCTCTTACCATAGATCTGATGTATGAATCTTAATCCCACTTAGTTGAAAGTAGGGTGATGATGTTCTACAGATGTAGATGTTGTTGCACTCTCCTCCTACTGCAGATCTGATGTGCAATTTCAGATCCTGTTTGGTTTGGTACTGGATTAATCCACCAATAAAAAGTCAGTTCACCTCTCTGGCTTGGAACCCTCCTTCCTATTGCCACCTGTATATCATTTCTTGAGTGACTGGTGTTGGTTGGAGCTGGATTGAGTGGGCTAGGACCTTTCTCCTACTGCAGACTGGATGATACATTCATTCCAATGCTGCATGGTTTTTGACTAGTTTGATGCTCCACTTTGCATTCCACCTTCCTACTCATCCAGATGTCGGTTCCTGGGGTAAGAGGTGTTAGTCATGTTTGGTATGCACACATGATGGCTTGGGTTCTCAGAATGGAACTGCTGCTTCTCTTCTGGTTTCTAACTCTGAGGTGAAGTTGGTAGAGGACCCTTCCCTAACATGGGCCAGATGTTCCATTCCTGGTACTGCCTGTGTTGGGTTGGAGTTGATCTCCTGTTTATGGTTCTATGCACCCTAGCCACTCTACACCATCAGTATGTCTGATTTCAGTTGGTTGAGGACCTCCCCTACTATGGATGGGATGTTCAATTCCCAGTTCCACTGTCTTTGTTATTCTTGGGACACTTATGGCTCATTGATGTTTGTGTTTCTTTGCCATCCATTTAGCAACACTGTCATTCATCAAGGGTAAATAGTATACCTGGTTCAGATGTGGTGTGGTCTCCCACGAGTATGTTTCCTCTTCTCTGAGATTTCACACTTCATGGGTTCACTTTAAATGCATTCTGAAAGGGGCTCATCTAGATAATTATTCACTGGTCTCTCCACCAGATCAGTATGGGATTCTAGCTATTATGCAAGAGGAAGTAAAGTATCGTATCGGAAGTTATAATTTTCCTAAACAGAAAATATATTTGTGATAAATACTCACTTCATCTCACATTTCCCACCCTTCTTCCCCACTTCCAGTGTTTTTTTCTGGGTTTCTAATCTCGAAGTGAGGTTAGAATCTGTATTCCAGGGGGAGACATTTGTGCCAGGAGAGTGTGTCACACTCCTATTGGTGGAGAGTTGTTGTATGCTTTTTATAAGCTACAGCATAGTTGTACCACGTTAATCATGTGGGGGTAGGTGGGAGTTTCAAGGCTGGTGGCAAGCAAAAATATTGAGCATATAGAGGGCAGTATTAATTGAGAAAAATCTATTATGTGAAAGGAGGTGAGTATAAGAAATACATTTTCTGTTTAAGAAAATTAATACTTTTAGAACTCTGAACTTGTTTTCTCTTGAAAAAAAAATAGTTAGAGGGGATCTATTGAGATGTTTAAGATTGTTAAGTGATTTGATGCACCATCTTTTTTGCAGCTAATGGTGAAAATAGTTAAACTAAGGAGCACAATTGTAAATTTTGGCATAGTAGAAGCCATCCTCAGCAAAGAGAGCTTTATTTGTCTAACAGGGTGGTTGGTCTTTAGAATGAGTTGCCTTCAGATGTGGTAGATGCAGTAAATTTAAGGGAGTTTCAGGGAAAGCTTGATAAATACTTGAATGATAATGTCTAGCTTTGAGTTTCATAATGTTTATGAAAAGGTTCCTTTTATCGCCCTTTAACCTTCTCACAACAGGGTTAAAAGGTGCATGTCACGATGTTTAAGAGAGAGATATTTTGAAAATTTAAGTAAACAAGTTTATTATCTTTGTCAATAAAATTGGCATCACAACATAGTTCATAGTTCAAATTTTATTATTATATATGTTTTGATTTCTTAATTTGAAAGAAATTGTTTAAAAAAATGCTAAATATCCTTTTTTGTATATCATATGGCATGTCTTTTTGCCCAGTTTATATTTTATTATGCCTATCATACAACTTTTATAGTGGTTAATGAATTAGAAACTCAAATTTTAGACGTTTACAAGCTAGAATATAAAATAAGTACCTCCCACCTTTTTGATTTGAAATATCAATATAGTTTGCAAATCTACAAGGGTAGCCCTGCCCACTACTCTGTTCTTTTGAAACTTCTTGTCTACTTCTGCCTATTTCTTGTAAGTGCATGTTTATAGCCATTAAAAATGCACTCATTCCAACTTATGTGAATCTGACAGTCATTTGTAACTGGTATGAAGGGGAAACTTGTACTTTCTCTAGAAATGTTGACTAAACTATTCTTTTTAACAGAAATGATATTTTAATTTGCATATAGCTTAATTAGACAGCCAGATAATGTATAGTGGTTTTATGTGTACCAGTATAGTAATTTAATAATTTTTTTGTTTTCTAAGATACATCTTCGAAATCTACAAGTATTAATTTATCTATCCCCTCTACTTGAGAGAATAAACAAAGCTTACAGCAAGGCTTAGCTAGTACAAATCAATTTTGTAATGTTGTAACTACTATAAATCATTGTGTTTTTATTTAATGTACTGTATTTTGAGAAAAATAACTAAACATTAAGTATATATGAGTAAATAGTAATAATGTATATAGAAGTTCGTAAGCACACATTTTTTATACCTATAAGTTATCCTCCCAGGGTAGTAGGAATTTAGTGAATAAACTTGGTAGGTATTTGGATGTTAGTTATCCTCCCAGGGTAGTAGGAATTTAGTGCTGTAAGTGTACAAAGTCTGGGTTGATTCAATAAACTTGGTAGGTATTTGGATGTTGAATCAACCCAGACTTTGTACAGAGTCATATCATAAACATTTTCTTGCACTTTTGTTACCTTAGACAATTCTTGTTACAACCACCGTACTATAAACAAGCTGATAAATCCTCTCCCACTGTATTCTCAGAACCTAGGATTGTGATAAACTGTATGAGAAAGTTCTGGTAATTGCACCACACTAGCTCATTTGCTATAGATGGTGTCATATTATGGTGTTATACACACAATATAATAGCAGGACTCATTGCTATATGATTGGCAGGTTTCTTCTTAAGCTGTTAACAGTAAAAAAACAACATAGAAAATAGATATGAAAAGGTTAGAAACTCTCAGCAGAAGTACTTTGGAACTTCGTGACCAATACTAAAAAAGATAGAACAGTGCTACTCACTGTATTTTGCTTTTTCAACCTTTAAAGTTTTATGGTATTTATGAGGACAGCCACTTTGACCGACCCCGTATAGAATAATGGTAGAGAAAATAACAGATAAAGTTTTTCTGAATTAAAAAAATGCATGATATTTATTTAGGGGGTTTTAGTGATTATGCAAATGAAATTTGACAATTTTTGTATAAAAAAAAAGTATTTTTTATCATGTTGCACTCGGAGCAATCAACACCCTGACTTCATATATTCACAGCCAAATGTTTACTAAAGCTTGAAAAATTTCATGAAGATACACCAAACATGTTAAAAGTTATAGTATTGAAACTCTGCTGGTCACTTTGGGAACATGAAGTCAGCATAATCCACTGAGTGAGTGGCAAAAGAGTTGACATTATATGTTATGTTGTTATGTTTTCAATCTTTCAGTTTTAATCATTTCCCATAGCATAACAATTGTAGGATATGCATTCATTTCAAACTACTTTCTTCATATTCTACAAGAGCTAAGTCAGTTTTTGGAATTTACAAAAATAGTACATGAAAGTCATAAACAGTAATCTTTTGTGCCAGTACTTTATGCCACTGAATGTTAGCTTATGCTGTAATGGTAGCTTTAATTTCTGTATAGCTTATACTTGAAGTATTTTGAGAATGATCGGTGATTCAAACATGTATTGATAAGCATAACTGGTTATTTATTCATAAGCAGTATTGGGTGGTTTATTGATCAACAAAGATGGGTGATTTATTATTTTGCAAATGAAGAAATGTTGCAAAACTCACAGGAAATATAAAAATGGACTGAAATGTTACTTGTTCCAGACATTAAAAATTTGAAATCTGTTTATTCGTACTTGGACATTATTGTAAACAAGTTTAGCCATTTAAGTTAAAGTGTAAATGTAGCTCATTGACAAATTATTGAACTAAATTTCTGAATACTAACAGACTGTAGATGCTAAATGAATATACATCCTGCTATAGAACAACAATTTGTTTAACTATTGTGACAAAAATTTTACTTAAGGTTTGTTTTTTAATTTCAAACTTTTCTTATCGGCTGTGAATACTAAATTTATTGCCAAAGACTGATAGAGAATGCAATTTTCTGTATGTTTGTGATTGATAACTGTGAACTTTCTTTACTCAGAAAGTTTATATTTTTCCAAGTAATCCCTTTTCTGTACACCCAAGGAAACTTGAATCATGTTTTAAAGTACAACTTTAATCTTACGTAATCTAATTTTGTTGTTGGGTCGAGAGATATTCCCAGCTTATAACTGGCTATTTTAATTAAGGTAATTTCTTTACTAGTTTTCAGGTGCAGATTTTAACCATGTCTGATCTGATCTAAATTTTTGGTCTGGTGTTGTTTTTTTCAGAAAGACTTTAGAGAGAACTACAAAATTTTTAAAAGGAAAGTTGCTTCCTGTGTAAGAAAGAGTCAAGAGGAAGTATAGGGTTAATTATCCTAGGCAATTGGATGGTAAGATATTTTTTCACAGATATAATAAAAATTGTTTCAAAGCTGCTTTAAACATTTATGTATACAAATAATTCATAATTTAGTATAATTTCATAATATAATTCATAATTTAGTATAATTTCATAATATGATTCGTAATATAGTACTAAACATCAGAGAGAATTATTGGCAATTTGTGAAAGAGATGATGTGATATGTGAGTGTGGCAAGAGGGATCTGATTTTCTAGTTTATGGCATTGTAACCAAATAAGATTGGAGATTATAAGATATATGCTCTGCCTGAGTAATAAAGATATTATATTGAATAATTGACGTTAAATTCTGTACTTCTCGGGGTGGTGATAAATAAATTAGAGAAGAAGGCATACCTAGAGAGCAAATGTCACAATTCTCATAGTAGCTTGTGCTCAGACACATTCCTTTTTGTTTGTTTAAACTTTCATGTTCGTCTTTAGTATACTCATGAAGTGGTCTTCATTTATTTTCACTTCTAGTTTCTATTAAGACTGTTTCTTAACTTCACTTTAATCCAAGTTTATTACAGTCACATTGTTATTTATACTTTCGATTATTGGTTGACTCTTCCTCATTTTGAATTCTGAAGTTCGTTACCACTTCGGGGATCACACTTGCAACTAGCGCTATGTCTCAGACATTAGGTCCAGGCATATCTGTGTTATTCGTCGGGAGATTGAAAGTTACATAGGTCAACCTCCATCTCTGGACCTTGCCCCACTTTTTCCCAAACAAGCTGAGTCTGTTCAGGTGGACGAGAACTTGGATCACCCATTTTCACCTTCTGATTTTGACGTACCTTTTTATGCCTCGTCTGAGGAGTCGGTTAGGCCTAATACAGTCTTTTTGGATTTAATTTCTCTGGTATGGGATGTTTTAACCTTTTTCCCTGTCCTTACCGTGTTAATGTGTTTTTTCTAAATTTGTTGTCCTCCCAGTTGGCCTACTCTTTTGGACTGGGATATTAATGTGGTTCTCCATTCCCTCACTTAACCTCCATTTGAACCACTTTCCTCGTGTTCCATATTTCACCTTTAACTGAAAACATATTTCCTTCTCCTCTTAGGAGGTCTGATTTGTTTGCCATTGATGTTTCATGTGTGCTTTACCACCCTACCTTTCTTCTCCTTTATCCAGAGGGTAATTCCTCCTTTTTTGCCTAATTCCCTTTCTTCTATTTCTCATCTCTACCCTTGTCCCGATCTGGATAGACTTCCATGTCCAGTCCGTACTCTTCATTGTTATATTGCTCACATGGCTTCCTTCTGTGGTACCCATTCCCAACACTTTATCCCTTGGCAGTCTTCCTCTGCTCAGGATCTTTCCCCTTCTACCCTCACCTATTGGGTTTGACTTTTGATTCAATTGGCTTATTCCTCCTTGTCTTCTTCCTCCCAGAATTTGTTCCAAGTGTCTTCTCATCAGATTCGACATCTCACCTTTTCCCTCTTATCTTCGTCAGCCATTGGAGGAAATCCTATAGTCGGGCATGTGGACTACACCTAATACGTTTGTCTCCCATTATTTACACCATATTGTGGTTTCTTCTTCATTGGGTTTTTGTCTTCCATCTGTGGCTGTTTTTCAGGCTTCAGTGTGACTTTGATTGGGTAAGTTTATATTCATACTTTTCTTTTCAGGGGTCATTTCTTCATTTACTCATTATATGTATTCCACTCTGTGGCGAGTGGTGTCTGACTAGGAATTTTTCAACTTGAAATCCGCACTGTACAGCCATGTTGACTCACGCTTTATCTCCATGCAAGCTGTTGAGATGGGGTGTTCCACAAGATTGCTTGTAGGTGAATAACCAAGCAATGTAATTGCTTCATAAACTTGCCCGTTCCAAACTGTACCAACCATGGATTGCATGAGTAAAGCAGAAGGGCATAGCTGCCCATCTCTGCCATGCCTTGCATTGAATAAATTAGTATGGTCTGCTTTTCAAAATAGGGTTTTGTGGTCACCCGTTGCACTGTCTCAGGTGATGACGTTCCTCCAGACTCTCCACCACATTCTCACCTCCCTTTCTTCTAGTGGAATATGGAAGTCCTTACCACTTTCCAGTTTCAAGCTGCTGGGGTGGTCAACCAAGGAAGCATCCTCCTGAATGGGTTCCAAACAAAGATGGCTATAACCATTCACTGCAGAGCAGGGTGGTGTTCTACAGGCATAGATGATGTGTTATCCTCCAATATGCAATATACACTCACAAAGAAGTGAGACGTCAAATTGCAGTTCACCTATTTGATTGGGAGCCCTCATCCTACCCCCATGTGGATGTTGGTACTCTGTGGCTGGGTTTTGGATTTAAAGTAGATCCAATCAACATAAGTTCTCATACATGTTTATGGTTGTCTATATTCCTCTGTCAATCATACTCCTTCTGTGTAGTGGGTCAAGGTGGAGGTAAGGAGGATTGTTCTGGTTCTGTCCTTTTTTCTATCCCTTGTTGTATCCTATTCCAAGGATGTTATTGCTTTTTGGATGGTTTCGGTTAGGAGTTAGAGTGGTTCTAGATTCCCTCCGATCTCTTGAACTTGAGGTGAAGATGGGATGATCCTCATCCTACCTCTGCATGGATGTTGGTTCCCAGCAGCACAGGTTTTGAATGTTGCTGACTTACCATGTACAGTCCATCGTGTCCTAGCCACTCTGTATCTAGGGGCACATCCATTGTTTTACCCACTTTTATACTTTGTGGGATTGAGTTACATATATAGTTACATGGTTAGGATCACTATCCTGCCACAGTTCTTTCCCACTTGGATGTGCTTCTCTCTTTTTCCACCCTTATCTACTACACATTTCACGGATGACCTGGTTAGTAGTGGTGTGGTTCCCTTCATCAGATCTTCAGATCTGACTCTCTCATTTCCAAGGGTATTCTTCAGATACTTTCGGGGGTTACTTCTGTCATTCCCTCGCACCAGTCCCGCCAACTAATCAGTGTGGGATTCTAGCTAATCTTGTGAGAAGAGGGAAGTACTGTATCGGAAGTTATAATTTTCCTATAGTGAAAATGTATTTCTTGATAGGTACTTCCCACCCTTCTTCCCCACTTTTTTCCAGTGCTTACGTTTTTTGCCAAACCTCGAAGTGATAATTCTGTATAGGTGTATAGAGGGAGTCACTTATGTCACGCTTCTATTGGTGGTGA